TTTTTTTTTTTTTTGCTTCCTTTTTTTTTTCTTTCTTGTTAACAAAATGGGAGTAGGGTAAGGCTGCTTGACTGTGAGATGAGGAAGTCCTTTGCCTGCAGCAGTTTAAGAAGCCAGCACAGCCTGGATCTAAGGCCAGCAGGGTTTGGAGAAGCCTTGAGGCTTGGCTGTTAGTTACTAGAGCTTTCTGACCTCAGCCTTGTGCTTCCTCTAGAAAGGAAGATTTTTGAAGAGTCCACAGAAGAGCCAGAAAAATGGGTAAAGGGTTGGAAAAGAAGAGCCCAGACACATCTAAAAGGCCCAAGATTGTTTATCTTATGGCCAATGAGGGGCAGTTTGATAAAGAACAGCAAGTCAAGGTTCTGACACAATGACCTGCTGCTTTTAGACCTGTAATGAAAAAGGAAAATGTCTCAAATCTGAGCTAGAAGAAGGAAATTACTTCATTCTTGAACTGTTCTTAAGTGCTAGGACGGGTTAGTCAGAGAGATCACATAGCTCTCTCTGGATGTTTTGGAAAACATCCTAGGTTGCTTTTTTGGCCATGTTAACGTGTTCATGGAGGCAGGGGAGTAACGAGGAGAGGACACTAGGACTCAGAGCTTCCATTTTCATCTCTTCATTCCAGCCGGCGTGTTCTAAACTGTGTCTACTGAAAAACAACAAAGGGGTGAAGGTTTAGTGGACTCACGTGTTGTTTATATCTCAGTCATCCAAACTACCCAGAACAGTGATGAAAGAGGAAAATCATGGTTGGGTATGTCCTCAGATTGCCACATATTTTTCATTTTTTACTACCGTTGTTGTGCAAGAAAAGGGAGAAGATGACAACAGGGAGGTTCTAGCTGGGATCTCAACCCTGGTGGTTTCAGAAACCCTTCACTAGCTCTGACATGAGGCAGTGCACAGTTTCCCTGGGTGTGAGGGAACCAGTTGGACCTTGCTGCCTTCGCCTCCAGGAGCGCCTGCAGTTGGATGGCCTCTTGCTTGCCCACCACCCCTGAGCACTGGAGAGAAGCTTAGAGCTTACCAGTGGGCCCATGTCCCTCGAAGGAGCGCTTCTTTCAGTTTTCATTTTGCTTTTTAAATTTATCATAGAGTTTTGCTGTTCAAGGAGTTTTGTGTTATGCTTATCTGATGCTTATAGTAGAAAGGGGCTTTTTATTTTGTTAAAATACTTTCCAGATGGACCTGATGTCTTTCTTGTGAATGTGTCCTTCCAAAAGCCTTTTCCATTTCTTTTTTATCTCCCTAGACATTTCTTGGCCCCTTCCCCAGTCTTTTACTTCCTCTATTTTTTTTTTTTTTTTGTGTGTGTGTGTGTGCTTGTCTGTTGTGTGTTTGAATTGCAAGAAAATATTTAAAGGGTAATCTTTATGCAACAGCTCTGACCCCCAGGCCTGGAAGGGCTTCTAGAAAAAAAGAGGAGGGCACAGGATGGCAGAAGGGGGTGGATCCTGCTGGATGGTACAGAGCTCCTGGAATAGTAATCTTGTGTGTAATATTCAGACAGGTATTACTGCCAAGGTGAACACTGAGTTCTGTTTGAAGGGGAAAAGTGGAAAAAAAAGATTGGTCACTTGTAAAATGGAGATAAAATGATGAATTTTATTGGGAAGAACAGTTTGAAAACTTTATTCTCTAAAAAGGAAGAGAGTGGCACTGACTTCACGAGTTTCTCTTCTCCCCCAGACTCCGACATATAAGCAGCCTCTTCTCCCCAGAATCCCACATGACACAAGAGTAACAAGTCAGCATTCACAGATGTTTGGGTGATTTGAATCTCAGAGGGATAAAATGATGACATACAAACATTCTTGATAATAGGGGAAAAGAAAATAAAATTGATGGGCGCCACCCTTTAACAGAATTCATTCATTTTTGAGTTGGAATGAGCAAATCTAGAGGCCTAGCTAGCACTTTGGGTTTCTCAGAGAATTTCCTGGGCAAGGGTAAGATATTATTGGCATCACCATCACACTGGGCAATACTAAGCATTGTACATTATTTTACTTGAGTTAAAATACCCATAACATAAAATTTACCATCTTAACTAGCAAGCATGCTGTTCAGCAGCATTAATATTCACATGGTTGTATAGTCAACCTCCAGAATTTTTCCATCTTACAAAACTGAAACTCTGTATCCATTAAACAACTTCCTATTTTCCCTTTCTTACCAGCCCCTGGCAACACCATGCTACTTTCTGTTTCTGCAAATTCAACTTCTCTAGGTACCTCAGTTAAGTGGAATCCGTACAGTATTTGTCTTCCTGTGACTTCCTTTTTTCACTTAGCTTAATGTCATTAAGGCTCCTCCACATCGTAGCATGTTGGAATTTGTTTCTTTTTTAAGGTCAGATATCCCACTGTATATGTATGTCACATGTTCTTCATTCACTAATCCATCAATAACATTTGGTTACTTTCACCTTTTGGCTATTGTGAATAATGTGGCTATAAATGTGTGTTTGCAAATCTCTTCACAATCCTCTGTTCAGTTCTTTTGGTATATACTCAGAACCAGTATTGCTGGATCATGTGGCGAGTTTGCATTTAGCTTCTGATCATCCAGTCCTCCTTTATCACCCTCCTTCCAAATACAGAGACTTGAAGATAACTCACATTACAAAATCTTATTTTTTTCCTTCGTGCATGCTCATGACAAAATGTTCATGTTTTGCTTCTGGGTATTAAGGATCCAAAGGGGACTTGGACTGTTAACCCAGGAAAATAAGTAAGCTTAGTTGGGCTGTTCTGGAGGGGTAGCCACAGGGAGTATTTAGTTTACAGATTTTCTGGAAGAAAATGGTACACAGAAGGTGTGATGAGCAGCCTGACTGAATAGTGGGCAGTGATTCTTTTGCTGGAAGTGCTGTCTTCTATAAAGTATTACAAGTGCTAATGTCGACTCAGTGACATCACCAGGGAAGGAATTTCCTGTATGCCTGATGGAGTTTTCACTTGGCCATTTCAGTTTCCCTCAGTTTCTTCATTAGTTGGAAGATTGGTGCTACTTTTTAAATAAGCCTGTAAATGCCCCCACTCCCCAAAGCATCAGAAAATGGCAAGAACAATTGCTTTTGTTCATTCATGAAAATGATGAGTGGGTGCATTTGCTTGCTTATGAAAGGGCATAAAAGCTTTTCCTGAAAAGAATAAACTGGAAAAAGATGAGACCTTGAAATGGAACTGTCTTGCAGCAAACTGAATTTAAGAGAGCCTATTTCTAGTTTATATGATATTCTGCTGACTACATGTACCACTAACATTGTAATTTCTCAATGCTAATGAGAAGTCACTGCTTTGAGGCTTAACTAGCTAGATACTTACCAAAGTATCTGTTTTGATATTTTCTGGTATGAATTAGGTTTCCTTTATACTTGTTTTCTGTCTACATTTCATTATGTCATTTTTTAAGTTAACTTTTTTTTTTTTTTTTTGGTACCAGAGATTGAACCCAGGGACACTTAACCACTGTGTCACATCCCCAGCCCTTTGATATTTTTATGTTTTATTTGGAGACAGGGTCTCACCAAATTGCTTAGAGCCTTGTTAAATTGCTGAGGCTGGCTTTGAACTTGAGATCTTTCTGCTTCAGCCTCCTAAATTACTGGGATTACAGATGTGTACCACCTGTGGCCTTTGTATTGGTTCGTAATCTCAGTGTGACTTAAAAAAAAAAAAAAGTCTTGTTGTAGTAGGATAAGCATTTGTCCTTATACCATGCATAAACATAACCATATATATGTATATGTATGTATAAAGAATTTTCCCTATTAATCCATCCATATACAGATATATGTACACACGTATATCTGTATATGGACGGATTAATAGGGGAAATTCTTTAGAGTATGTATTTCCTTGGCTAAAAGACATTAGATGATATCTTGGAGCCTACAGTTATTTGGAATATGCTAATAACCATAGACTAGGCAGTTATGTCGCTAAGCATATATGGTTTTGCTAGTGAACTGCTATTCTTTCAGTAAATCACTGATATACAAATGGTAGTGATTTGGAGTATCTTTGATTTCTAGGCTAGCAATGGAAAGCTTTGGTCTTCCTTTAAGGCTTTAGAGACCTGTAGAATGATCCTCCTGAGTGCAGGCCCAGTAGAGAGGCTGCCCAGTACCTCACCAGCCTGCTGTGTACAGAGCTGCACAGAGGGAACTGTTAA